CGTGTTCAAGTTAAAAAAGCTTCTTAAGCTCAGATCACTAAATTAAATTCGAAATCACGCTCGAATTCGCGTAGTTCGAAAAAAACTCAATTCGATTACGGCCCTAAGCAGCCTAAGCTAAACTTTTTGTTTGCAATAACAATTTTTTTCCTACTAAGCCCACCCCACTCTTCATTCCTGGATCTGCCCCTGGTTGTAGGGAAGGCCCAAGTGATAGAAAAATGTAAAAGGAATAAATTGTAGAACTTCTCTAGAAGATGTGGTCTAGAATTTTCTTATACTCTCTCTGATCCTAAATAAACTTCACACTTTCCTTTTTGGATAGGTAAAAAATAAACTTCACATTTCTTCTCCCTTCCTTATTTGACAAATTATCTACATCAAAACAGTGCAAAACAGTGTCAAACAGTGTCACAACAGTGTACTCTACAGGAAAGTCAAATTTATTTCCTTAATTTGTGTGAAGTCAAAGTGTGAAGTTTATTTAGGACCGGAGGGAGTAATTAATTGAGTAGAATTGTGTAGAATGCATTAATTATAAAAGAATCTAGATATCTTTGTACTAGTATAAATAGAAACCTCCTACCCCCACTTTGTATTAAGACATGAACTACTACTTCTATCAGGTTGACATTTTGGAATGAAACTCCGGATCATAACGTGGTATTAGAGCCAAATCGATCCATGGTGTGGGCCCCCTATGAAAAATGGTGACACAATTATAAAAAATTGACAATAATGAACCGATGAAAAAATGAATGACGACACGATCCAGACGAAGTGTCTGGTTGTGAGGATAGGTGTTAAAATTTCACACCGTAAATTTGTGAATCAACAAAGTGCTATATTAAGAGCCCGTTTGGTGAATCTGTTTTTCAGCTTATCTGGCTTATCAACCAACTTTTTAACCGCACATGTAACTTTTGATTTCGCGTACTGAATTGTGCAATAATAAGAAAAAATAAGGTTGAAGTTACTTTTCTGGTTGTATTGGCAGAATTTACTGTAGATGACCATTTTAGCTATCGTTTCATGTAAATTTTTCTTTGTTTTATTTATATTCGTTGTTTTGTCATAATCAGGGACGATCTGTTTGGGAAAATTTTAAACTTCCGCTGGTGTACTTTCGAGGTATGTTACATCAATTTCCTAACAGTGGTATCAGAGCCAAACTGATTTTAATGACATTGCACGAAATTGGCATGAAATTTTCGTCGGTACTATAATAAAATATATTTTAAATATTATTTTTTCACAAATCAGTAAAATCAGCTAATACAGTCACTTCAACCAGAACGTCATAAATTTTAACAGAATCAGACTATTCAGTCAATTTCAGTGTTACCAAACGGGTTCTAAAACATAGACTACTCCTTCTGTCAGGTAGATTTTTTAAGATGAAACTCAGAAGCTTAACAAAAGTTTATCAAAATGGTAACTACAGTGAACACAAAAAAATACTTTTCAAAAGTAGAAAGTGTAGTAAACAAAAAAATGAAAGGACTAATACGGAGTACATAAGATAACATAACTATTCTTCGTGCCACCGGATTTTATGTAATTTTCTATTATTATTATTATTGTTATGATGATGATGATGATGAAAACGGTGGGCGTTGACTGTGGACACAGAACACCATACCGGGTGGGATGAGTTGGGATTTTAAAGTCCATCAACTTTATGTTGTGAAAGGAGGTGGGCGGAGAAAATAAGAGGATGCGGGATAGGGATAGTGAACGAAGCTACCAACCCATTCTATTCGAAATTAAAATAATAATAATCAATATATATATATATATATATATATATATATATATATATATATATATATATAAGAGAAACATTTTAGGAACATACAAAACGCATTATATATAACAATTATTTACTTATTTTTATACCTTTTATTTTTATTAGATTCTATTTTTGATTGCATATTGATATGGAAACAAAAATCCTTATAAATCCACCTTTATTAATTTGAGAAGCTTCAAATAAGTAAAATAATTTTTGGTTATCAAAGTGAAATTCTAATAACGTTTATTGATATGGAAACTAATTTATATTAGTTTACTACACCGAATTAAATAGAAACAAATATGCAAATTAGTTTACTTATTAATTTGACACCTATTAATAAATTAGTAAGCTTCAAATAAGTAAATAATTAAAAATGAAATTAAAAAATATAACCAACATAAAGTATATATATTTTCACAAGTAAATATGTTTAGCTTAGCCAAATAAGTAATTTTTTTAGTTGTTTCTTTATTTCACACCTAAATTTCAAATATGCCTTCACTTTTGAAATAGATTCCTAATCCAAATTAGAAAATCTTTATAGGTTTACGAATTCCTACTTTTATTTTAATAGAATGTTTTTAATTGGATTGATTTCAGTTCCAGATTAAATCAGATCAGATCAAACTTTAATAATTATAACAATAAGTCACATAAAAAACAAACATCTAATAGACCATATTAATTCATACCAAATCAAACCCAAAATTTTAATTCAATTAAAAACGTTCTTATTAATGAGTAAACTGTAAGATCTAACCATTAAGAAATATAGATTTTTTTATTATTGGGTTCATAACAATTATGTTTACTTGAGATGCTTATGTAGAAGACCAACTTAACTTTTTTTCATATATTTTTTTCTTTGTTTCACAAATGGAATATATTTCACATATATTTTTTATGATCAGAAGATTCCACCTATTTAACCAGAATTCAATCAGTTTCAGCAAAATAAGTTAATTCTATTTACTTTAGTATTATCAAACATACTCTATATTAGACTAAGTTTATTTTTCTTTTAAATCACATTATATGTGATCCGATAGAAATTAAATTTCAAATTAGCTAAATTATATATTGTCCGTGCATCGCACGGGCTTGAAAGCTAGTAATAACAACAACATCAACAACAATTTTTGTAATCACTACTACTACCTCCATCCCCCTAATATTGGGATGGAAGGAAGTAGTAAGATTTTTAAGAAAACGAGAATTATGTGATTGATAATGAGTTGATAAAGTTAGAATAAAATAAGAATAAATTATAGTCACACAAATGTCACCAAATATGATATGAGATAATAATAGAAGGACATCCAAAAATGAAAAAATGAAACAATTATAAGGGGACGAAGGGAGTATTACAGAGTATAATATTAGTAATGTTTCTATAGCATTAGGTTAAAGCTATTAATATTAGTAATGTTTCTATAGCATTAAGTTAAAGTCTTTTTTGTAAGGTAGCATTAAGTTAAAGTTTTTTTGAACGAAACTGACTTAACTTATCATTTTTTTACGAAAGCCGATTAAAAAGCAACAACAAATCTTCTATCTACCCCCTAAATAAAATCAATAAGTCCTGGTCATGAAGTCCCCCACTATAAGGGCATCCTCATTGGGAGGATTATTACAAGATTAAATTGGTGACATGACAGTTTTTTTTAGAGAATTATCAATGAGCTAGTGACATAGATTATTTAATAGGATTATTTGCTACAATAATCTGGGATCAAAATATGAATCCGGATTATTTTAAGATTGTTTGAAAAGTATATGTAATAGAGATAAATGAGGGATAGAGAAAAAACAGATTATTTGAAGATGATGATTGAGAGACATAAACGAATTTTGAGATTATTTTATACTACCTCCGTCCCTTAAAACTTTGTCAAAGTTGATCGGCATGAAGAATTTTAAAGTAAAAACTGTGTGGTTGAGGTTTGTGCAGAGGAGAGAGAAATAACAGAAACCACAAATAATTGATTAAAAGGGAAAGTGACAAAGTTTTTTGGGACGTCCTAAAAAGGAAAGATAGCAAAGTTTTAAGGGACGGAGGGAGTAATTAATTACATAACAATATTTAAATGGTAAGAATCATATAAAAAATTGATTATTAGAGATCATGAATGGAGATGCTCTAAACTAGCGATAAGAGTCTCATCATTCATTATGTAACACCCAAACCAAAAACTAATTACTTTAGAAAACATTAAACATGCTTTTAGGATAACCTCTTTTATTTAAGGATACTCCCTGTCTCCCTTTTTTTTCCTTTTTATAATACAGTATCTATAACCTATTTATAATATTTTGGGAATAATATCAAACGTGAAATCTCTTTTTTGAAAAGTGACACGATTTTCATACCACAAAGTATTCACAATATGTATGGATTCAACTATGGACATGAATAATCTCAAATATTGGAGATCTGCTTGAAATAATCCAAATTATCAATTATTTCAAAATAATCTCAACTATTGAAAAATCTTCTCAAAATACTCCGGTGACTTGTAATTATCCGTAACTAACTTCTACTACCTCCGTCCCACTAAGATTGATAAGTACCAAACAGCTCTTAATATGATTATTATGCTCCACCATAGTAATGTATTTTTTAATTTTTTACCGGAACCCACTTTCCGTGTAATTAAAGTTCAATTTATATCCTCCCAAGTCGGTATTGGGACCCTCTGGGTGTCATTTTTTTCCTCCGCGGGTATGGACACATAAGGTGAGAATGACGCGGGAGCAGAGCAGCCAAATCTCGCAAACACCTGTCACATACCTCCAATCCCATTCCCCATTGATGTACGCACATAAAACAGAAGATGAATCTTCTCCACGCCATCACTTCAATTCTTTTTATAAAAAGAGATAAAGCTGCTTTAATAATGACCTTATCACCATGACACAACCTCGGTTAGCCTTATCTGCAGTTAGATTGACCATGATTGAGATGGTAGAGGTTGTTATAAATTGAACTCACCACTTCCCAGATCCTGCATTCACTTCTCCTCTTCTACTGCCCTTCATCTCGCAGCTGGTGCGTCTCGTTATCAATTCAAACTGAAAACCTTCAATTGATCAATGAATTAATCTTCTTCAGTTTGATTTGCTGTTAGATCGTATGATCGAGCTAATGATTTTAAATAGCCGTGGATAATTATGACCGAGGTTTATTCTGTGAATTCTGCAGGTGGAAATAATGTCGACGGCGAACAACGGCGATTTTAGCTTCGCCACCGGTGGGAAAGGCCTGAAAGGCCTTGCGAAGATCCAGACGCAGAAGACGAAGGAGGATGAGATCTGCCATGACGACAGCGCGCAGCCGGTGAAGGCTAGGACGCTGGACGAGTTGCATTCGCTGCAGAAGAAGAAGTCGGCTCCGACCACTCCACTCACGGCGACTAACACCCCCTTCGCCGCGGCCGTCTCCGAAGAAGAACGCCACAAACAGCAGCTGCACTCCATAAGGTATTTTCAATTCTCGTATACCCACTTACAAAACTAAATTTCATGTACATTTGATTGTTGTTAATCTTATAAATATCTATGTCATTCCTGTAGTTATTAAAAGAATTTGATATTTGTGTGTGTTATTAAATTGAAGTTTTGTTCTAATTTCACATGATTACGAACAAAGTAATTTAAAAGTGGAAATTGTGAATGAGATTTGAGTAGAATAAAGTCAAATGATATTATGCAAAATGAGAGAGAGAATAATAAAAAACAAATCTCCCAATATTATAAACTAAAAATTTAATGAAATGGAAGAAAAAAGTAAAGTGCGACGAAAGGTAAATCAATTTAATCAACAGATATTGATGAAACTACTAAATCTGCTAAATTAAGAATAATAAATTTTAAATGTTTTATTATTGAACCTCTCTGACAATTTTAAATTCAACAATTTCAACAATTTCAGTCACCGGAGCAATTTTCATTTTAATTATTTTGATTATTATATAATTCAGTACATGAAATTAAAAATTATGTATTCATTGGAAAAACAAGCTGATTGGAAAAACAAGTTGATAAGACTATAAATTGAGAATATGAAATATTGTGAACTCCATATGATTCCCTTATGCAGTCATATTTTATGGAGTCATATAGCATGGATGAACACATCCGGGGTGGGCATATCAGTTTGATTTAGTCAAATCGAACCGTACCAAATCGAATTAAATCGAACTGAAACTGGACCATATGTAATTTGGTTTAAATTTGATAGTATTTCTTCTAAATCATAGTAAACCAAATCAAATCGAAACCGATTCAAATATAATCGAACTAAAAAAATTCAATAAAACATTCTATATTATTATTATTTTTTTTGGAAAAAAACATTCTATATTATTAAAAAATAACAAATTTAAACCGATCGAACCGAATCGAAGAATATTTGAATTTTTGTTTTGTAATAATTCTTCCAACCCATTTCAAACCAGACTCAATAAGAACGGATAAAAATCGAACTGAAAACAGATATGCCCACTAGACACATCAAACCGCCCATTTTTTAAAAAGGAATGATTATTGTGGAACCCCATATGACTATAGTTTATATTGACTTCATAAGTGTGTCATAAGATACTCCATAAGGAGTCCTATGAAATGGCCCCCAGGAACCACACCGGAAAAAATCACCCTTAGACTAACTCTAATAAGAGGGGTGAAAATCTTAAATTTGAGGTTTTCGCTCCAAAAGAATTCCAAACCAAGCAAAAAAGAATATGGCAATGTGCCACAATGAATAGGGAGTACCGTGGGAGGGAGAGTTTTTCCGCCTCATTCACCATGATGACATGGTCCCCCTCATTCACCAATGGAAGGAGCACAAGGAAGACAAAGCAAGCTACCATGCCGGGAAAGAGAATAAGGGCATGTTTGCAATTTTTTTAAAAAGTGATTTTCAGCTTTTGACTTAAAAAAGCTGAAAAGAGCTGAAAAGAGTGTTTTCAAATGACAACTTCTACTTAAATGAAATATTAAAAAACTAAAAGTTAGAATTTGCTTTTTACTTTTTTCATTTCACAAAAAGCACATATATTTTACCAAACACTATCAACTTTTACTTTCCAAAATCAATTATTTCGCAAATATCAACTTTTACTATTAAGCACTTTTTCTCAAAATCATTTTGAAAAGTGATTATTTAAGCAAAAGCAATGGTAAACACTCCCTAAGACCCAAGAAAAAAATCTTTTTTCTTTAAAGTATTACTCCGTATAACATTGCTATTTTTATTCTAGTTTTTATAAAAAAAACACCTCCATTCCAATTTTTTTTGCCATTTCATAGAATTTGAACCATGATTTTGATTATTATAATATTTTGAAAGTTATAGATTTGATACTTTTATGAAAGTACTTTTATAAAAAAACATTTTAATATCATATTTATATTATGAATAATTTCCAATAAAGAGATATACTTGATCAAAGTTTAAAAAATGATAAAGTATTTTGGAACGGAGGTAGTATATAAAAAATATTGCATATATAAAAATCATAAAAAAACATGCTCGTTTGAAATTTTAACTGCTAGATGCCTTCAAACTTAAAATTATTATTAAATAGATTCAAGTTCTAAAATCAAGATGTTATTGTTAAAATATTCTTGTTACATCTATCAATATTCAAAAACAGATTTGGAACAAAAAAATTAAACTCTAAATTTATGTATTTTTACATTGGAATGTTTAACTATTTAAATCATAATCATTTGGAAAAATAAATTTGATAAACAATTAATATATATTAATAAAAGTAAAAGCTTTAATTTAGGAAAAGGGAAAATTATTATTAGCCTCATGAGGTTATATCATAATTATTAATGCAACCTTGCTTTTTCAAAAATCAATTAGTTACCCTCTAAGTTTTGATCGTTCTCACTATATAACACCTCACGTTAATATTTGTTAAATTAAATTTAATATACATCTTAAAGTTGTATATAAAATTAATTTTTAAAATATAATACAATTTATTATCATAATTGTAAGTCATTGTTGATGATCATTTGTTTTTCAACTTAAATACTCAATCCCGGAGTTAAAGGGATTAGTACTCTATAGCAAATTTCCCTAAAAATTGCTCGGTGAATAAATTGAGAGGGCTTTATAGGTTGTCGTTTAGATTCCCGTGATTCTTTAAGGGATGCCTGTTTTGATTTGGAAAATGACAATAATACTGAATCAATTATCTCGATTGAGTGTTTGGTGCTCTCAACGCATGCAGTTGGACATGCTTTCCAGATCGAATATGGTCCCGCCGGCAGCAATAGACTGCATACAGCTGCTTGTAGGGTCTCGAATCTCGATACTACATCTGCCAGTGAAACTAGGAGCCGCTAAGAGCATCTCCAATAGAGATATGAATTGCTTTCTATAAAAATGGACACATGATGTCAATGAACAACCTATAACGCTGATGTGGACGCACAATCAATTACAATGAAATTTCATCTCCAACGGTGCCTATCCTTCATCTACTCTCCAAACAAAAATATTTTCATTTAATTACTATTCAAACCTGAGATATACTTACTACACAACATATACGCATACTCACCCGCCTAGAAATGGAGTACTGCCGCCATATCACAATTCACAAGTCAATCACAAGGGCTGTCAGCAAACCCTATGACCAACTCTAGAAACAAGAAACAAACTAATTTAATTTGGTATACTTCTCCGAAAAAAACAAGCTGGAGAAGAAGGTTGCCGGAGAAGAACTGAAGAACTCGTCGGAGAATAATTAAACAGAAACAAACTCATCTAGTTTTGTATACTTCTCGCCGGAAAAAAATCATGTCGGAGAAGAAGGTTGCTGGAGAAAATGTCATCGGAGAATAATTTCAAAAAAAAAACAGAAACAAACTCATCTAATTTTGTATACTTCTCGCCAAAAAAAATGAGCCATGCTCGCCCATGTCGCCTATAGGAGTGCCGCCGTAACACAGGGGGCTGCCGGACAATGCGAAATAGTTCTCCCGTTTTGAGGTTTGGTTACTACTGCAGCTGAGTACTGTGTTGTTTGAAGGGAAGGACCAATATACGGAGTACATGTTTTCCGTAAATAATTATTGGGGTTTTGCTGATGTGTCTATCAGAAAGCCCTTGTGAAGGGAAGATAGATGGCGTCTCCTTTTTTCATTCCAACTCATCACGACAGCCAATATATATATATTTACGTTGGAGAAGATAATTTTACCCAAAAATGATGTGGCAATGCATGTTCTCACTAAAGATACTCTAAGGTTCATTAGACTGGAGCGATTGATCTCAATGTGTTATAATTGTTTGAACTTGGAATTATTCTCATGTAAATGTAATGCACAATAAAATACTCACTTCGTCCCAAATTGTTTTGCAAAGTCAACAATTTTTGGTCAACCAATAATAAAATCAATCCTCCCTATCGATAATTAATTCAATTTTTATTAATTAAAATTTACATATTCAGAAACTACATTAAAATTTCATCAAAGTTGTAATCTCCGAATAATAATATACTCCGTAATTAAAAATTGACATCCTAATTAAGCAAATAAAATGAATCTTTTTGATCACCAATGATTGGGAAAAAATAGAGTAAGTTTTTGATTAAATCTAATCTCTATTTCTTTTGTAATGCTTTTGAATAAAATGCAGCGCATCATTGGCATCCCTAACTAGGGAAACCGGGCCCAATGTGGTGAAAGGAGATCCAGCAAAGACAACGCCGGAGACTCCACGGGTGTCTCATGACTCACACGTGACCCATCACCACCATTACGAACCAACTTTCAACACTACCGACAGTTCCCTCAAGTTTACCCACATCCTCTACAATCTTTCACCTGCAGGTAATTCAATGCTCTTAGTCAAACTTCAACTTCAAGTTTTTTGAAACGTTTTTAATTTTTTATTCGCAGCAAATTAAGTCTAGCTTATGTGGTTGGACCATCTTTTTCATTAATTGGTTGTATTAGTGTTAGGTTTCGTGTGAGATTGTGTGAAGACTGAGTTTAATATGGTACGAGTCTATGACTCTATGAGTGTAGGATACTAGGATGTAATTGTATAATCTTTGACACCAGGGTTTGAGTAGCGAATATGGGATCAGTTTGATGAGTTATGAAATATCCACCTTAATATGGGCGGCTAAAATAAAAAAACTTACTTTATATTTCAGTTTTAGAGATTTGTACAAATTCTTTTGGTTTAAATATTTGTATAACATAAAGACCAGTTATTTTAAACAAATGTGTTTCATATTTTACATACGATCAAATGTAAAAATTATCATTTCCCTCATGGTTTTTTTATGTCTATTTTCTACCGTTCTGGACATAGCCTTAACCTTTGAATTTGAGATTCTTTACATACCATTAAGGTTTTCTTTCCATATAACATAGAGCTTTATGAGCAAGCGTTAAAGCATGAGAAAGGTTCATTCATCACGGCCAGTGGTGCACTGGCTACATTGTCGGGAGCCAAAACGGGCCGATCCCCTAGGGACAAGCGTGTTGTCAAGGATGAGGCAAGCAATGATCTTTGGTGGGGAAAGTAAGTCCGTACTCCGTTAACTCTTTCTTCATTTTGTGCCAAGAAGTGCTCCTACTTGTGTGGTCTACTAAAATTGTTGAAAGGCGTATTATAGTGAGTTCTAACTTTTTCTACTTCTGATAGGGGCTCACCCAATATTGAAATGGACGAACATACTTTCTTGATCAACAGGGAAAGAGCTGTGGATTATCTCTGCTCGTTAGAAAAAGTATGTGGACTATCCAAAGTTTTTAAATTCCTTTACGGCATTACTGTCAGAATCAGGAAAACATCAATAAAGTAATTTGACAAAACTTATGAAATTGTGCATTTGTGAGCCCTATGTAAAGGAATCACTTCAGGAATGTACAGGTAATCTTACTTGATGTAGGAGACTGCTTTAATTATAACTAAATTAAGTAACACAAAATTCACTTAATTATAACTAAGGCCATGTAGCTCAATCGGGCTATTTGAAAATATATTATTCAATAGTTTCTACTCCATTATTGATCCTATTATTAGAAAACATGCATGTAATTATGTTAAGTAATATTACAGTGTGAAAAAAGTAAAAAATAAGAAATCATATAAAGCCTTGGGGTGTGATCCTATTAATTAAGTTGACCTTTTCAAATGTAATAACCTATGTAAACATTATTGAAGTTGTTTCATCAAAGTATATGGGAAGACCAGGTACACTGGGAAACTGGTATATAAGACTAATATTTTCATAGCATGTATAATTAGTTGTCATTAATAGCTAAAGAATATATATTCGCATTCCAGGTTTATGTGAATGATCAGTTTCTCAATTGGGACCCAAACAACCGCATCAAAGTTCGGATTGTTTCCGCAAGAGCTTATCACTCCTTGTTCATGCACAATATGTAAGCACTTGTCTGATCAAGAATATTCTTTACATATTCTTTTTTTATGTAGCACGAATTCAGGTTCTAGCTGTTTTTTTCATTAAAATATTAAAGCACGAACTATATATGTAGTCTCTTAAGGAAATGGAGAAAAAATAAATCAAGTTGTTAGTGCATAAAAATAACTGGGTCGGTGACAGGTGTATCCGACCCACACCTGAAGAGCTGGAGAATTTTGGTACTCCAGACTTTACTATATACAATGCCGGTCAGTTCCCATGTAACCGTTACACCCACTATATGACATCCTCCACTAGCATAGACCTCAATCTCTCTAGGCGGGAAATGGTCATCCTTGGCACACAGTATGCTGGGGAAATGAAGAAAGGTCTGTTTGGCGTAATGCACTATCTGATGCCTAAGCGTCAAATCTTATCTCTTCACTCTGGGTGCAATATGGGAAAAGATGGAGATGTTGCTCTCTTCTTTGGATTATCAGGTATATATAGTATCATGAAAAAAGGCTAGAAGCCCATCATCGCTGGTTGGTGTATGCTTTCCATATCAATTTTTTACTAGTATGCCCTTATTTGAGTAAATAATAACATTCTTGGTTGTGTGTATAATGGTTATTTCAAAGGCATTGCATTTATGTGTTTTTGAATGTGCTTTCTTAGGTACGGGAAAGACGACCCTGTCTACAGACCATAATAGGTACCTCATAGGAGATGATGAACACTGTTGGAGTGATTGTGGTGTATCAAACATTGAGGGAGGTTGCTATGCAAAATGCATTGACCTCTCCAGGGAAAAGGAGCCTGATATCTGGAATGCTATCAAGTTTGGTACAGGTATATTTATCTTGGATTTATGGAAGAAATGGTATTGGTCATCATTACTGGTGGACGTAATGGTTCTGTTTTGAGTGAATCAAACTGAAATCGAATAAATCCATGCTGATTAAGAAAAACTCAACAAAACCTTAAATATTTAGAAACAATTCCAAAGAGAACTAAGCAGAACGGGAACAAACCAAACTATGATAGTCGTTCTTCGAATCCATTTCAGATCAAATCGAACCAAAAACCGAAAAACTAAAACGAGCTGAAAACGCCCATTCCTAATCATAATGCCCATGTTTAAGACTGTATATTTCTCTGTAATGTTTGGACATGAGACTCTTAACAGATACATTTTATTAAATTCCATTTGTTTGCAGTCCTAGAAAATGTGGTTTTTGATGAACATACTCGAGAAGTGGATTATTCGGATAAATCTGTAACAGGTAATTACTAAAAGTTCCTGCACATTGGGTTTGTTCTTTTACTGCATTTCTTAACAACCTTTTCCTTTTTTTGCTGATTTAAGTAGGATTTTTTTCATTTAATTGCAGAGAACACTCGGGCAGCATATCCGATAGAATACATTCCAAACGCTAAAATTCCATGTGTTGGTCCTCATCCAAAAAATGTCATTCTTTTAGCTTGCGATGCCTTTGGTGTGCTACCACCAGTGAGCAAATTGAGTTTGGCTCAAACAATGTACCACTTCATCAGCGGTTACACGGCATTGGTAGACCTTACTCACCTCAAGTCTTTTAGAAACCCTTCTTTATTGTATTTTTGACAAGTTTTTCTTTTCCTTTTCTTTTTATTGATGAAATCAACATTAAGGTGGCTGGAACCGAGGATGGTATAAAGGAGCCTACTGCAACATTTTCTGCATGCTTTGGTGCAGCGTTTATTATGTTCCATCCCACAAAGTATGCAGCTATGCTATCTGAAAAAATGCAGAAACACGGTGCAACCGGATGGCTTGTCAACACTGGCTGGTCAGGTGGAAGGTATATATAAAAATGTTTTTGCAAATTTTGTATCTGTGTTAATGATAACCTTGGGAGTCGGCATTGCTGTTATTATGAAGTCATTGATAAAAACTCTGTTTAGTTTATGCTATCAAAATGTTGTGTATGTATTCCATTCCGTACTCATAGTAATGATAGAATTCAGGATTAGTTGAGGTTACTTAACCGGATTCGTAAGACATTTGGTCCAAACATACTAATAGATCATTAATTTCCTATTAATTTCCTATTTAATTTGTGATGTGGATTCTAATAAGTAGTTTTGTCAAAGTTAGACGTGTTTTCGTTTTGAAGCATCTCATGACAGTTGTGGCTTTCAAATCCCAATCTTTTCTAATTAGTTTTTGTAAGAAGTGATGCAGCTTAAAAGCCAAATCAATTTTAACAAAGCTTTAATATTCTTGATATATCTGCAGATATGGATCTGGCAGCCGCATAAAGTTGGCATACACCAGGAAGATCATTGATGCCATTCACTCGGGGAAACTGTCAGAGGCAAATTACACAAAGACGGAGGTGTTTGGGCTGGAGATCCCTACAGAGTTAGAAGGGCTGCCTTCTGAAATCTTGAACCCCATCAACACTGTAAGTGATATAATACAAGTACATTCATATTCTATACGTTTGTTTGTTATTTTGTATTTAACTTATGTGGGACAAATATTTGGGATGAAATAGTCCGCAATAGGAGTCAAATATGGACCAAATTCACCAAAATATGACTAATTATGGCGTTTTCTAAAAATACGACTTGGTTTTGGTCCTCAAAAAAGAATAAAAGAAGTAAAAAAATTGTCAAAGAGTCCTATCTTGAGGGGGAAAATGGCCTTCGTATTTGAGTAAATGTGTTATGTTTTGCGCAAAATGAGTCCACTCATTTTATACACTGGTTCATTATATTTGTATTTAATCATTGTGTAACAAATATTTCATAATGATTACAAATTATAGATTATTTTAAGGTGAATGAGAAGTGATTTCTCATGCTCCATACAACTGAGAGAATTATGAAAAAGTTCAGAAAAAAGTTTGTATCACCAAGTCTTTCGTATAGCTTAATAGAGAGAGGGGTCTATCATAAACATAAGAATAGTTTCAAAAATAAAATAAAATAAGTTAAATAGATTTTAATAAAAACAAGGTCATTACTTAATGGTTCATGCGCTATATATACTTGAAGAAACACATTTTTGCAAAAGATTAGCGAAATAACTTTGACTAGATGAGCTGTTAACTTCTATTGATGCATTCTTATTAACATATATATGGTAGTGGCCTAACAAGGATGAATACAATACAACCCTGCTGAAGCTTGGAGGGCTGTTCAAGAAAAACTTTGAGGTATTCTTGAACTACAAAATTGGGTCCGACAACAGCCTGACTGAGGAGATCTTGGCAGCCGGGCCAAACTTCTAAGTGCTATGTATCTGGCCACAGATTGCTAAAGATGATGACGAAAGAAATGATCAATAAATGAATTTGTATGAGACTTATGTACTAGAAAGGGTATACAGGTATATTAAAAAAATTGTGCAACTCTATGTGCTGGCTGAACAAGTAAATTTCACGTCTCTCTAGTGTATCCTTACCATATTATGATATTGAATGAATGTCAACAATTTGTTGCATAAACAACACTTTCTTATATGAATGATGTAGAGGGGATGAGGTTTATTATTATAGGATAATGATGAGATGAGTCCCGTTCACATACATATGTATGAGAACCTCCATACAGACAAAGCCATACGAGGTCCTTCCTGGTGAAAATTTTTGATAAAATGTTTTGAACATATTTTTCATCAAATCTAGTTTATGTGTACTAAATTTTATGTATACTAAATTTAAGCTAAAAATTCAATCGGGAAGACAAGTCAAATAAATTCTTTACCAAAACTATGCTTTATATATATATATATATATATATATATATATATATATATATATATATATATATATATATATATATACATACATACATACATACATACGTACATACATACACACACACACACACACACACTAATACACATGCATCGAACCGCCCCGGTCAAACGGGGAAAACCGCATTGACCGAGTAACAGGTATGAGGCGGAGAATACTCGTTTTGTTTTTACGGGTAATGGGTGTGTTACGGTTTTACACATGTCCGCCCCATTACCCGTCCCATACATGCCCCGTTTATTTGTAGTTATATTTTTATTATTTTTTTAATCTATTTTATCTATTATTTGTCTCACAACTATTAAAAGATGAGATATTTTTCTTACCATTGCATATATATAGATAATAGATGTACTAATTATAATGTATAAATGAAAGTTCATAATAGATTTAGAAATTGCTCTAAATAGAGCAAAAACGTTTTGAAATTCCAAAATACGAGTATCATGTTTTTTATTCCCTGAATAGGAGTAATCTGCCAAGCTTGGAAAAAAATGCCATGGTATAAAGCCTAGGGGTGGATCGGTTCCGGTTCGGGCCTAGTTTGGGCCTAGGCCCGGCCGGGCCTCGGTTCATGAAGGGGAGGCCCGGAACCGGCTTGGGTAACCCCCGGGTCCGGGCCGGGCCTCGGTTCTATTTTTTTTTTGGCTTTTCCTAGTTAACCCCCAACCCTCCCCCTCACCCCCAAACCAACCCTAACCACCTCAAATGGCCCAAAATACCCAGCCCAATGCAAAAACTTAAAAAAAATTCAAAAAAAAAAAAATGGCCCGGCCCGAATTGGCCGGGCCGGTTCACCTTTTGAAGGCCCCGAGCCCGAACCGCCATCCAACGGGCCGGGTGGCCCGAACTGGGCAACCAACCGGTTCACCGGGCCGGTCCGGGTCCAACCCTATTAAAGCCTATTAATGCCTATTAATGCCAAACTTGGCAGAAATTTACTCATATCCAAGGAATAAAAAACATGATACTCCTATTTTGGAATTTCAAAACTTTTTTACTCCTATTTAGGGAATTCTCTCTAATAGATTTTAATAGTCTTGTTTGATTATTATCATATTTTTTCGTGATTAATTATTTTTTAGATTAAGTATTTTTAGGTTCAAATTAATTTAAGTTGCTTTCTTTCTCGTCTTGTAGATATACGAATCTTTAAAGTGACATCTGAAGTGTAGAGTAGTCTAGGCGATGTCATTCTTCGCCTTTTAAAATATTATTTTTTATATCAAAATTTAATGACTCAATTAATAAGCGGTTACCCGTGGTTACCCGAAGTTTTACCCGTTACCCATTGGGCGGTTATGGTTTGGGTAAAAATTACCTGTTGGGTAATGGGGCGGTTACGGGGCGGGGAAATTACCCTACATGGCAGTTACGGTTATATGTAAACCGTCCCGATCTGCCCCGTTGCCATCCCCAGTTGTGATACTTGTTACCAAGCAAAATCTTTAATCACAAAATTTTAGGTGGAGTAAGAGGCTTTCACCATTAAGTTCACTTGGTTGAGTATAGAGACTAGAGAGGTAATTAATGTTGATAATAAGAGCTAAACGTGGTAGGAGAATCCACTTGAATCGTAAGCGTTGGATAAAAGGCCATCTTGGTACTAAGAGAAGGGCTCTCGTTCTTGAAGAGGCTTTTGGAGAACGCACACTTATAATGAGCAAAACAGGCACACACACATTTTTTTACCCGGGGTCGGAGGGGAGGGGCCTGGGAGACAGGGAGAGCCTGGGGTAAGATAGGACGGAAACTCTCTCAATGAAGTTTCGAACTCGAGACCTCCCGTATGAAAGAGTGATTGAGCGATCAGTTGAAGTTGAATTGAATCGTTTCTTCACACATGCAAAGACACATACTAGTATTAAATGTAGTGTTTAATGACATGTTCTATTAATCTACCTTTATTTTGGACACCCATGTAATGTGCAAATGTGTTATCACACACACACATATGCTTGCTTTCTAGAAGTGTTCAACGACATGTTCTACCGATCTACCTTTATTTTGGACCTATATCTATTTATGTTTTACTACCTCTGTCCCCATAATATTGGGACGAGATGAAGTGGTGTTTTTAAAAAAAAAGTAGAATTATGCAATTGATAATGAGTTGATAAAGTAGGAATAAAATAAGAATGAATTAGATCCACACAAATGTTACCAAATATGATACTATCGTATGAGACAATAATAGAGAGACATCCAAAAATGTTACCAAAGTATTATTTTGATAGTTCCTTATAGTATGATCTTTTCAAGCATTGTTCATATGAACGCGTCTTTCAAAATGTTGTAATAATTCCAATTCAACATTTCAACATAAAAAGACTTTTTTTTAACAAGAATAATTTTGTATGAGTTTTTATGTTTGGTAGCTCACATGGCACATTTCAGATTAAAATATCTTGCTATGACACATGTGAAAGAAAAGCATATTAAAATGTTTTTACTAAAAAGAAAAGATTAATGAATAGAAATAACTGCAAAAAAAGAATAACCAAATGAATCAGCAATAATGAATTTTCTAACTAATAATGGTAAATTGCAATTATGTCAATATAAATTATTCAAAGGAGTCCAAATCCAAATGGGCTAAGTAATTAGCAGCTCAATTACCTTCTCTAAATAGGGGTCTCAAGACGAGCTTAGCAAATTTGGAAACCCTTCGTATCTCATCAGCGTAGACTTTCCATCTGCCGTAGTAACTGGCATCTTGAAGCATCGAAATCGCCAAGACCAAATCCCAGCGTTGTTGCTTTGATAGTCGCATGATGTACAACTTTAATCTCAGTTCGAAGACCGAATCCGTTGTGATATAGAAGCATATACCGAAGTTCAAATCTCCAACTCTGTTGCACAGAGTCGCTCCACCTTGGGAAGAGTCATGTAAGAATGGTGCATCTACGTTCAACTTATATTGAATGTTAGGTCTAGACCACTTAAATATTCTAATTTTTGGATTAGCGGATGCAAAACCTTCATGAATAATGTTTTGTGGCTTCAATAGCTCAAAATTTGCACTCATCTTCTATTTATGTAAGCTATAAGATCAAATTTGAGCGTATTTTTTTATCTGAACAATTATGGATTCCGAGTAGGGTAAGATTGAAAAATCTCCATACACCAGATTAGCGTATATCTTACATAAATGGCAAACCATGATTGTAGAGAGATTTTAACCAGCCATAAGAGACTTTTGACCAGCCATTAACCACCAATTAATCATCAATTGCCAAACAAATATAAGGATGTGTAATATATCAACCCCAAAAATACCCATAAAATGTGACCATATTTTCTGAACATAGGGGGCAACAACAAACAACATGATTTATAAATTAAGATTCATTTCTACAAAATGGGCATTGTAAGGGAAAATACCCAATGTCAATCTAAATGGATTTTCTGGAATAGGTATCAAGTTGTGTAAGAGCTTCATTCGAAAAACTTTTATCTGCATAGGTTGACTTTTATGTCAAATACATTTACATGAGAAAGTGGAGGAGCTTCTCCATCTAACATCCTTAAAGGCTGAAGGCCTGAAGCAAGCTAAGTGAGAAGTCACCTACCAGGCCAGGTAATCAAATCAAGTTATTATTACCCCCAATCTATGAAATAGTTCCCCCCTTGTCATTTATGCTACATAATTAACCTTCTCCAAATTAGAGAGTCACATATCCTCGAGTTCATATCACAATCCCCAGGGTACCAGACATGGCCGACTTTAGACCAAAATGAATCATTCTTTTTCCACATTTATCATAATTTAGGTGAAAAAGATTTTTCAATGTATTACAATAATCGAATACCAACCCTCCTTCACTTGGCAAGCACATGGAAAGGGTTTCATTTTCTTCGTCCGCTGTTCTACTTTTGAATTGATTTTAGTTTTGTAGGTTTTGTATTTTCGTTTCAGGTATATTATAGACTGCCCTTGGGTTATAGATACTACCTCCGTTCCAAATTGGTTTGCAAAATTAATTTTTCTTGGTCAAACAGTTTCATTTTATTCACTTGATTAGAATGTCAATTTTCTATAATATTCTAATTTGGAGTTTACAACTTTAAAGAGATTTTAATGTAGTTTTTGAATATGTAAATTTAATTATTAAAAATTGAATTATTTATCAATATGGAGGATTTAACTTTAACATTGGTTTACCAAAAATGTTAACTTCTCAAATAAATTTGGGAAAGGAGCACGAGCATATATAACTTACCAAAAATGTTAACTTCTCAATTATGCTTTAGTTAGATTTACATGTCCCAAATTTGTTTATATAATTTTGAAGAGGAACTTAAAATTGATGGTTTCATGAGCATACATCATCATAAAGAAAGGAGCACACGAATTTGTAGTGATGAAGAATTTCCTTCCTTTTGAGAAAGCAATGTTACAAAAATAAAAGAAAGATATTCCAATTACTAAAAAGTTGTTATGTAATTTGAAATTGGTATGTTTTCATAATCTATTTTTGTACTAATCTTTCTTTATGGTCTTTCAGTTTAAGCCAACTAATTATGTGCTTTTAGTACTTTTGTTTAAGAATGTTAAACTTGGCCAATATTGTTAAATTTTTATTGTGTTGTTGCTTAGGGTGTGTTGCAAGTTGGTGTGTAGAAAGGCTTTCACTTGGATATAGTAGAATCAGGTCATGATAGGATATTGTCTTAAGTGGAACATGCACTTTTTAAGGTAGATGTCTCCAAAGAATAATGTTTCTTCATTGTTCTTTAAGTTAGAACAGTTTTACAATATCAAATAGGTATTTCTACATTAGAGCCATGAAGCTATCACTATTTGTGGAAAAGAAACTTTTACTAATCGCAATTCACCATCTGATTAAATGTTCCAAAAATGTTTTTATTTGTTTCAGATTACATCAATTAAAAATCATCTTTTCAGGAGTTATAATTTTCTAAAATCAGTGGTGAGGTTGAAGCTGATGATGAATCTAATCATGAGGTGATATTTTCTGAGTAAATGAACAAACAGTGAGAAATAATAGAGTTATTGGAAGTTTAGTGGATGACTTAAATCCCTACCGGGATGAGTGAGAAGTCAGTGATGAAGAATATTCCTTTATAGATTCAAGTAGATTTTTTGTTAACTGTGTTATCCTTGATATTTCATCAAACCTTTCCAATACTCAAATTATTCCAAATATACTTTTGAGTCTATGCAATCACTAAATGTGAGAATATCTCATTTTTAATTCCTTCAAAACATTTTTTGGAAAGTTATATAACCTTTCAGATTTGCAGTTACCCACAAAGATTTTAAAATGTAGGTTATGAGCATTGATTGAATGTACTCCGTTTTGTTTTAACCGGAAGGTAAACAACGCATCGTTGTGGAAAATGTTGAGGAAACATTTGCCGAATTTTATTAAAATAGAATTAAGGTATAAAAGTAGAGGGAAACTATACAAAACCTCTCTAGAAAGGGTATGCCCTTTCCAAATACACGAATAAAAGAGAAGAAAATAGGAAAATAAAGAACATTTGGAAACCCTTACCCAAATTAAACAATTGTGAAAAAAGAATAACCAAATGGGCTAAGTAATGAGCGGCCTAATTACCTTCTCCAAATGAGCGTCGAAGACGAGCTCAGCAAATTTGGAAACCCTTCGTATCTCATATGCGTAGATTTTCCATCTCCCGTTGTAACTGGCATCTTGAAGCGCCGAAATCACCAAGACCGAATCTGATTCCACCTGAAACTCAACAAATCCCAGCATTGTTGCTTTGATAGTCGCATGATGTATAACTTTAATCTCAGCTTCGAAGACCAAATCCGTTGTGATAGAGAAGCATATAACGAAGTTCAAATCTCCAACTCTGTTGCGCAGAGTCGGGTAAGAATGGTGCAGCTACGTTCAACTTATATTGAATGTTAGGTCAAGACCACTTAAATATTCTATTTTTTGGATTAGCAGATGCAAAACCTTCGTGAATAATGTTTTTTTGACTTCAATAGCTCGAAATTTGCACGCCTCTTCAATTTATGTAAGCTATAAGATCAATTTTGAGAGTATTTTTTTATCTAAACAATTATGGATTCCGAGTAGGGTAAGACTCAAAACTCTCCATACACTAGATTAGCGTATAGCTTCCATAAATGGCAAACCATGATTGCAGATATATTTTATAAAAAGATATCCATAAGAGACTTTTGACCAGCCGTTAACCAGCAATTAATCATCGATTGCCGAACCAATATAGGGATGTGTTATCTATCAAGCACAAAAATACCCATGAAACGTGACCATATTTTTTGAGCATAGGGACAACAACAAAAAACATGATTTATAGATTAAGATCCATTTCTACAAAAGGGGGATTGTCGTAAAGAAAAAAATCAATCTCAATCTAAGTAGATTTTCTGAAATAGGTATCAAGTTGTGTAAGAGCTTCCTTCGAAAAACTTTTATCTGCATAGGTTGACCTTTATGCCAAATACGTTTACATGAGAAAGTGGAGGAGCTTCTCCATCTAACATCCTCAAAGGCTGAAGGCCTGAAGCAAGCTAAGTGAGAAGTCACCTACCAGGCCAGGTAATCAGATCAAGTTATTATTACCCCCAATCTCTGAAATAGTTCCCCCCTTGTCATTTATGCTACATAATTAACCTTCTCCAAATTAGAGAGTCAGATTTCTTGGAGTTCATATCATAATCCCTAAGGTACCGGACATTGCAAAATTTAGACTAAAATGAATCATTCTTTTTCCACATTTACCATAATTTAAGTGAAAAAGATTTTTCAATGTATGACAATGGTGGAATATCAACCCTCCTTCATTTGGCAAGCACATGTTTCTTCATTAAAATTTACCTCGTATAATATAGAATTTTTACATGCTTCGTGTAGTTGTAGTGGTGTATGAATCATTCATTTAATACTGGTGAACACATTTTGTAAAAAAAAAAAGATTAGTGAACACATGAAAACTAAAATAGTCATATTGTTATCTGATGTAATGTTATGTGATATATGGTGTCAAGCACCGCAATGGCCAGTCACGTCAACCATCATAGTGTAACCTAATAATAATAATGATAATACCACTTAGCAAAATTTGTAATATTCTTTAGTATTCTCTAGAATATCTTGTAATTAATCTCATTTATTCCTTGATTTAATTTCCTTGTATTATAAATAGTGAAAATAGCTCATCATTTTGATTGAGGAAATAAAAAATATTTACTCTCATGGTATCAGCCAGAATCGCCGTAAATCCTCTCCTCCTTCCCCTTAAGCCGCACCTGTCTTCTTATTCCAAGCCGGCCATGGCTTCTTCAGATTCAGTTCCCATTGCAACCAGGGGCGGATCTGGTATAGGGCCAGGTAGGGCCTAGGCCCATGCTCAAAAAATAATTATTAGCATATATTATATATATCTAAATATATTAATATATACTACGTAATTATATAGTTACGCTATAATAATAACAAACATCGAATTGTAAACAGAATTCATTTTGGCGTGGTGGAAGTGTACTGAGCGTGTAGTGCAATACGAAGTGCTGGGTTCGAATCCTTGGGGAGACCATTTGAATTTTTGAGAGCAACAATAAAAGTTTTCTTTTGGCTAATGTTTTAAATTTTAATTTTTTTTTTTCCAAATCATCTGTGTGTCACACGGAATAAGGGGCCAAGGGGGATTCTTATTAGTTGGGCTTTTGAATTAGTTGGGATTCTTGGCCCCTTCTTCCGTGTGACACATAGATAATTTGGAAAGAAAAAATTAAAATTTTGTAATGTACTTTATTTAATTAAATTTTGGCCCCGCCTCAAATCAAATGCTACATCCGCCCCTGATTGCAACCATGGTTCATATGGTTACCATCAAACTCTCTTCCACTAACTTTCTTCTCTTGAAAAGTCAAGTGTTTCCCATGCTCAGTGCCTTTGATTTGCTTGGATATGTTGATGGTTCAGTATCTGTTCCTCCAAAGACCATCTCACTAATTCCGTTGAAAGCTCAAACCCAGCTTATGCATCATGGCGGACCATAGATCAAAAAAAATCTTGGAGTTCTCTTCTCCACCTTGACCTAAGAGTCTATGGCAGAGGTTGTCGGTTGCTCAACTTCTCGTGTTGCCTGGCTCGCTCTCGAAGCAGCGTTCTCTCCCTCCTCTACTGCCCGGGCTAATCAACTCAGGGATGAATTGCAATCCCTCCGCCGTGGCTTTCTCTGTCGAACAATACGGCCGTCAATTCAAAAATCTTTGCAATAAATTGTCTGAAATTGGCCGCCAGGTGGAAGAGCCGGACAAGTCTCACTGGTTCCTCAATCCTCCTGTACACGACCGTCTGCCTCAAGCTCAACAGTACGACCTATTTCTTCGCACCATGGAGGGATCTGCTTCTGCTCCTGCTGCGTTCTACAGTTCCCATCAACGCGCTCGCCACCGCTCTTTCACCGGCCGTGGCAGTTCTGGTAACTCTCATGGCGGTTCTTCCTCCAGTAATCCTACTGGAGCACGCACTAATGTTACCGGCAGCAGTGGAACACACAAGCCTTTCGTTCCTAGATGTCAAATTTGTCGTGGGCCACACTTTGCTGATCAGTGTCCCCAATTTCTTCAAGCTAGGTCGACCTCTCTCCCTTCTACAACAAATCTGGCCCAAGCTTTCACCAGTTCGTGCAATGTTACCAATCCCGCTTCAGATTGGTATGTTGATACCAGTGCAAGTGCCCATATGACATCTCAAACTTCTCTTTTGGATCAACATGAGCCCTATTCTGGTAATGACAGTGTCGTAATTGGTAATGGCTCCAATTTACATATTTCTCACATTGGCATCTGCTCTTTATCCCCCGATCTTTCGTATGCTTGATGTGTTGGTCGTTCCGCATATCACGAAAAATCTTTTATCTATTAGCAAACTCACATCTGATTATCATGTTGAGGTTATTTTTTCTAACAAATTTTTTACCATTCAACATCGGGAGACAAAGGTGCCTCTAGCTCAGGGACGATGTGATCAAGGGTTATACGTGTTGGAGCGTGGTCATTCTGCCTTGGTGGCTCGTTTGAAAAGCTGCAAGTTAAAAGCTTCTTGTCATTTATGGCATTTACGGTTGGGGCATGTCTCATTTCATTTGATTTCCCTTTTACATAAACTCGGACATTTGGAAGTTACTTCAATTTTACCTAATCTCGGTCTTTGCACGTCATGTCAATTAGCTAAAAGTAAACGTCTTCCTTTAGCTTTAAATGACAAACGTGTTAATGCTATATTAGATCTTGTTCATTGTGATTTATGGGGGCCGGTACCTGTGCAATCCCAAGACGGGTACCGCTATTATGCTCTTTTTGTGGATGATTATTCTCGCTTTTCATAGCTATATCCTTTGCGGGCCAAATCAGATTTTTCTATTATATTTGAAAGGTTTCATCAGTTTGTTTGCATTGTATTCTCAACAACAATGAAGGTTTTTCAGTCTGATGGTGGCTCGGAATTTACCAACAATTGCATGTGTGAGTTTTTGAACTCTCATGGAATTCACCATCAAATATCTTGCCCCTATACCCCTCAGCAAAATGGCCACACCGAACGCAAGCATTGCCATATTACAGAAGTTGGCTTGTCTACGATGTTTCAAGCTCATATTCCTGCTTGCTTTTGGTTTTGATGAAACAGTTAGCAACACAAGGGGGGATGAATTGTGTTTTTGTGGAACCGTGTCAGTTTCTCGCACAGTTCTTGTGTGGGGTTCAGGGAATTGCGAAATAGTAAAGTGCACAAGGATTTAACGAGGAAAAAATCCCTTGGCTCAAATGGATTAAAAAACCTCGACCTCCCTCGGAGGAATTTTAAACAACTTCACTAAAAAGCCTTTTGTGGTTACAAGGTAAATTCTCCTAATCTACCCTTGAGCCACCCCAACTCTATCCTCTCTAGGAAGAGTTATGCATCTCTACCTTGCGGGTAGAGAGCCTCTCAACTTTACAACAAAGCTCTCACACACACGACCCCAACCCGAGGAGGATACACTTTAGCTTTTCCTCAAAACTAGTTACAAGATAAAGAAGGGAAAAGAAACTATATCTAGAACCTCATGAGCAGGTCCAGGTGCCTTGGTCTTGATAGTTCTTTATAAGTATTTCTCTCTGTAATTGCTCGGTCAAGCTCACGTCTTCTTCTCTTGGTCTTCGGCTATATATAGCCCAGAGGATATCCGTTGATTCTCCTTCCTTTAGAGGCTTTGTAGACTTGCCTTGATATTTTGAATTACTTTCCTTCTAGTAGCTCCTCTTTTATTTGCTCAATCATGAGCAAAATTGATTCATGATTTACGAGCCATCATATAAGGACAATAAGCAGCCACAAATTATTTATGTAATCGAATTAAATCAAGCTACAATGATTTCCTTATTCCGTGATCCTTTCAAAAAGATATTCATTTAATATTTCAATCAAGGATGGTTTTACCAAATATAGCATACTACGGACTACTATAAATATAGCAAGACCATCAACTAGCGCAAGTGATGATTATTTTCATAACGTGCATTAACCATGATGGGGGTCAACTCTCTAAAGTGGGTGCCTAGTCATACATGCGAAATGTGCCACGTGTAAAACAATATAGCTTTGTATAGATGAAATATAGGTGAGCGTATATCAATTAAATCACTTAGTATGGGCAAGCACGAAAATTATGAACAGAACGTGGTACGTTCCAATGGTAGTTCTATCCAAAGGTCCCTCCTGCATGATAAGTTAAGTAATGAATTATTGTTTGGACCCAAGGATAGAGTTCAATCCTATTTAAGGTTAGTCATCAACAAAACAAAATAATCAACAGGTTTGATGCCTTTGTCACCGCGGTTTATACTATCAATCATCTACCATCTCCTATCTTGACTAACCGATCTTCTTATGAATTACTTTTTGGGTCTCAGCCAGACTACTCACATTTCAAACCATTTGCTTGTCGTGTATTTCCCTATCTCCGAGATTATGCTCCACACAAACTGGCCCCTCGCAGTCGACCTTCTGTTTTATTGGGTTATAGCAGCTCTCATAAAGGATTTCGATGTTATGATCCGGCCACCACTAACATTTTTATCACACGCCATGCGCAGTTTGATGAGAATATTTCCCTATTCTAGAGATCAAGGTTCCTCCAACCCGTCTCAACGTGAAATATCAGCCTTTTGTGAACCCGAGCATCATTCTTCACCCCTACACCTATAACCCCACTTCCCCCTCCACCAACTACAGAAGCCCAACTTCCCCGATTATGCCATATTTGTACTGAATCCCCTCCACCCACTCATACCTCTCCTGAGCAACAATCTGCCTCTTCTATTGCTACTCCTTCACCTCCCCATCCAACCCTCCCTCCTCCACCTCCTTTACCTCAACCTACCCATCCCATGACCACTCGTTCCAAATCTGGTATCTTTAAGCCCAAATATCCCGTTAACTTTGCCGCCTCACCCTTACTTTCCGCCTTGCTTGCCAGCTCCGAGCCACGTGGTATAAAGTCTGCCATGAAATCCCCTCACTGGGTCCCTGCTATGTAGGAGGAGCTCGACGCCATTCACAAAAATAATACATGGGAACTTATGCCTCGTCTGCCCAATACAAATATCATTGGCTCCAAATGGGTGTATCGCACAAAATTCCGCTCTAATGGTACCCAGTGTTGATTTTTCTCACACTTTTAGCCCAGTTGTTAAAGCAGCCACTGTTCGTGTTATTCTTTCTCTCTCTCTGTTCATTTTCAGTGGGATCTTCATCAATTGGATGTGAACAATGCCTTCTTAAATGGAGCCCTTCACAAACCCGTTTATATGGCTTAACCACCTGGGTTTGTTAATACCACATTTCCTAATCATGTTTGCCGTTTGAAAAAGGCATTGTATGGACTTCGCCAAGCTCTTTTGGCTTGGTTTCGGCGTTTCAGTGATTTTTTGTTCACTGTTGGATTTCAACAAATTCGTTCTGACTCTTCATTATTCTTTCTCCATCAGGGGTCCTTGGTGCCCGATGCTTTTCTGATTAGTGATGGTCAACCTTTTCAATACTCAAGTCTAAATATGCTCATGATATTTTGGATCGCGTCGACTTGTTAGACTTTAAACCACTTTCTACCCCCTTGGTGCCCGATGCTTTTCTGATTAGTGATGGTCAACCTTTTCCGATCCGGATCCTACTCTTTATCGGTCTATTGTTGGTGCGTTACAATACTTGACCATCACTCGTCTTGATTTATCCTTTGCCGACAATTCAGTCAGCCAGTTCTTACAATCTCTGACAGAAGACCATTTTCAGGCTATCAAACGTATACTTCGTTATGTTAAGGGCACCATTCACTATGGGTTATCTTTTGACTATCCGGTTCCTCAGTCTATCACTGCCTACTCTGATGCAGATTGGACCCGTTGCATGGAAACATGTCGGTCTACTTATGGATTTGGAATTTTTCTTGGCAGCAATCTTGTCTCATGGAGTGCTAAGAAACAGGCCACTGTTTCCCACTCTAGTTGTGAATCTGAATATCGGGCTCTTGCAAATACCGCATCGGAGGTCCTCTGGCTAGTTCACTTACTTCGTGAACTTCATGTTCCTACAAGCTCTATACCTATACTTCTATGTGACAACAAGAGTGCCAAATTCTTAAGTCAAAATCCGATTGCTCACAAGAGAGCTAAACACATTGATATTGACTATCACTTTGTCCGTGAATTAGTCTCTGCAGGACAGCACTCTACGCAGTTCATTCCATTTCATCTCCAAGTTGCGGATATTTTTACCAAAAGCCTTTCTCGGCCAGCGTTCGAGTTTCTTTGCTCCAAGCTCTGCGTTTGCCTAAATCACATGCAACGCTTGATATGGGGTAATAATAATGATGATAATACCACTTAGGAAAAAATGTAATATTCTCTAGTATTCTCTAGAATATCTTGTAATTAATCTCATTTATTTCTTGATTTAATTTCCTTGTATAAACATGTAAACTTGTATTATAAATAGTGAAAATAGCTCCTCATTTTGATTGAGGAAACCAAAAATATTTACTCTCATAACCAAATGCAAGTGTGCAACTGCTACTCCTCTTACCTTATCATACTTTCTTCAGTCTCATTTTGTAAGATACACTTTTCTTTTTCGGTTTGTCCCGAAATACATGATCACGTTTTTAAGTTTGACTCCACTAACTTTTACTTTCTCATTTCTTCTCTTTATTTATCTATCATTTCACCATTTACTTTTTGAGGATCCATTTTTCTCTTTCTTACTTTTTGGAGGTTAGGATTGTAAAACAATCATTTCATCTTTTATTTTCTTAAAACTCGCATCAAACTCATATGCATCTTACATTAATTAAGGGATGGAGGTAGTATGTACAAGGTGTCATGTTAATTTAATTATTTAGTATTTACTTTTTGTAGTTTTATTGATCTAGGACTTGAAAGATATATGAATTATCAATTTAAGACTTTAAAGATAAAACGTGTTAATATAGTGATCGAATGAATGAAACCTATCAATCTAGGACCTAAAATTTCATAAGTTTTGATTTATTTAATTCTTTTATTAATTGTATCACTTATTTTCTATGAATTTTTCTTCAAAAAAGTTTATTATTGAAATTAATTAAATAATATTTTAATTTTTTAAAATAAAGAAATATTAAAATTCATGACAACGTAACTTAGGTACTAGATTGATAGTTTTCAATCATTCGGTCCTTGATAAAATTCCTTATTTTTTCTATCTCAAGTACTATTACACATGCTACTTTTCTTAAATCTCTATGGCCTAAATACCCTTTGAACTTATTGGTGAAAGGATAGTATGGGAAAACATAGCACACATATTGCATTTAGTATATCAATTAATAAAGTTGGTGCAAAATTCTTGAAATTCGAGAACAAGCTATATATGTAGTATAACATGACACCACAATTAATTAATTAAAATGTTGGGTAGAAATGAGAGGTAACAAATTTTCATCATTAGAAAATATATTCACCAACCCATCGATCACTCCATTAGGACTAATAATATTTATAATTGGATTTTATCTTCTTCCCTTAGCAAATTCCCAACATTTGGTATCAGAGCCTTGTTTGTCGAGGTCAGAGTCTCCATCGTTGTCAAGCAGCACCACAACGAAGGAGAAAGGTAGGCTGCCCGGTAAGTTGCGCCGCCGGCAGCAAGGAGGTGATGGCCATGGTGCGGAGGCCATTGCCATGAAGACATCGTCGTCCATGTGTGAGTCGTCGACAAGATGCGGCATCGACGACAACATGAAGGCGAGACACCGACGAGTTGCGTCACCGGTGGCGACCATGAAAGCGAGTCATCGGCAAGTTGTGTCATCGGTGACAACAAGGAGGCAGGTCACCGGCGAGTTGCGACACCGGTGATGAACATGTGCGGGTCGTTGACAAGGTGCGTCATCGACGTCAACATGGTGGAGATTCACCGGCGAGTTGCGACACTGGTGGCGAACATGCAGCAGCGAGCGTGTCACGACGGCGCGCTCATGGTGAAAGCGTAGGAGGTGCGTCTCTCGTCGAGGCCAACGGCGACATCGTCAAATCGGTGCGGGAAGATGGCAATGACGGCCGTCTACATGTTGCATCGACAAGATCGACGACAACGGGCTTCAAGAGAGAAATAAGTAATAACAAGATTAGGGAGGTGATTGTCGGAACTAATCGTGTTATTAGTGCTAGATTATTAGATTAGTTATTTGCATGGGTTGGTAATTAATTATGCATGTGTAGTAAGTAGTGGGTGAGTGGGTCTATTAGTGGAGTTAGTAAAGATATTAGTGGTTAATTAGTTAGTGTCTTAGTGGCTTGTTACAAGCAAGGTACGTGGGTGTGTGAGTCCTCTATTTAAAGTTGTAATTATTATGAGAAAATATGAGAAGAGATGCTTTGAGCACCAAGAAAAGGAGCTACGCATGGGTTTTATTCCTAAGCTTTAACAAGTTACGTTTGGATTTTATCTTCTTCCCTTAGCAAATTCCCAACAATTTTAGTCTTCATATATGTATCTGCTTTGCTCTTTCCACTTGAAGCTTCCAGTCGGTTAAGGAGAGCAAGAGCATGAGAAATGAGAAAGGTGCAGGAGGTTTGGGCCGCCAGAAGGCCCAACCAAAGCCCAACTAAGCCCATTTTCACCGCGAAGCCCAAAAATAGAACCACTAGCATTCTCACCGGGCAAAAGACCCAAGTTTATATTAGCTCTGCTGGCCGGCCGGGCTGTCCCTCTCAGAACCCTGAACCCCTTATCCCGTGGTCTGTAGGATGTTCCCGAGCTCGCAAAGCCCTGCTACAGGCAATGCAACCGCCGTGAGTTCAAAAACCTCCCTCCGGGTTCTTGAACCAATCACGAAGGCGTAAAAAGTCTCCCCCACCCCCACCTCATGACCACCGTGAATGCCATCTCCGTCACTTCTAACCCGAAAGCCAAAGCCATGAAAATGATCATGGAGATTCTGGCTCGGGCAGGACGCTTGGCACCAGTGGCGGAGCTAGGAGAGGGCCCTAGGCCCTAGCCCACCCTAATTTAAAAATGCCTTTTAGTGTACTTTTTTAGAAAATGTATTCTTTGTACCGGTCTAGTGTCGTCCGGTGCTCTAGCTCCACACCTGGTTGGCGCCGAGCTCATTCCTGGCTCTAGTCAAAACCCCGAGGCTCAGCGGTGATGTGAGTTCTCTAGCAGTATAGGGTATAAATACGAGTATCTTATCCACAGAGACGGAAAAAGGGAATCAAAAATTAAATAAATTCAACGATAAAAAAAATAAAATAAATAAAATGCGATGTGTGCAATTTGGAATTTTGGAAATTTAAAATGCGAAAAAGCAATAAATCTAAAAGGCCCTTTCTAATTAATGACGAAAGGGAACAGAGATTGATTCCGGGGTAATCAGATTTCGGGGCTGATCAGGCTTAATCACATGAAAATTATTTAATTGAGCAACGCTGGTCAATACTAAGTTCTTACCGCTCTCGCGGCGTAGAGTACAATAATTTAGGGAACCAGACTGATCTCTCATGCGACAAGTTCCTAAATTATTGCCAAAGCATGCAAGCGTACAGTTCTCTAACCATTACTAATCTCTTAGCGAACAATTAAGAGTGTGTTAAAGTGTCCTAAAATAAATTAAATCTCTCTTAATTTACTCTATGTGCAATTATAATCCTAGACACGTACATACTACTCTAAGTGATGAATAGGATAGAAGTTAAGAAAATTCTTTTTTGCATTCATTGATTTTGGGGACATGTACATACTATTCTAAGCACGAAACTCGACCGCTTGTTGCACGCACTATTTATTTAAAAATGCTTCTTATAAATGTTAGACATATATTAGTTAGGAACTGAACTATATATACATATTATATACTTGCAATGTGCAGGATTCACCATAAAAGTCCATTATAAATGAGTAGATGTATAATTCCCACTTTCACGCGTTAAATAGAAAATAATAAGACAAAAGAAAAGACCCAATAAAGAAACTATAGAAAACGTTAGAATTTGAAAATTCAAATAATTTCATAACTGAAGTCTAGATGTTAAAATGTCACCCCAATCCTAAAGTAATGCATTTCTCACATTAATGGAGAGTTCACTCTCTGATTAGAATGTGAAATTATACTTAGATTAGGAAGTGGCTGGCGTTCGGGTATTTCTCCCTGCACCGCTACCACGACAAGCACTAGCTCCACTTATTTTTGGAACATATTAAAAATTATTTTACAAAATCGTATATATAGAGGTTACGTCACCGATTCCTCTGCACCACATAATTTGTGCTTATGTATGAGGTAGCTTGGTTGGGGATGTAACCTATGTAGAGTTTCACATTTATATATGTTTCATCACATCTTTATATATACTTTTTATTCCACTTACAGAACTTAATTAGAGGAAGAAACTTAAAAAAAAAACATAATTTTCTTCACATTATGGCTGGCGTTCGGGTATTTCTTCCTGCACCGCTACCACGGCGAGCATCACTTGTTATAGACCCGATGTTAGATGTTTCTAGCTCCATGTAGAATCTAGACGTGGAAGTTCATGGAAGAGCATAGTATCCCTGAGGAATGATATTTCTAGATTTTGGACCAAATATAAAGATTCCAAATTTTAAAAATTAGAATCAATCTCATGCATTAGAATATAAACACTTTTTTATAATATAAACCAAGAGCAATTTTGTGCGGATTTTGAGGTTTGATTGTTTCAACGAAACGTCTTGATATAAATGTAATCTTTTAACACATGGGAACTTGCGATGAAAATCGTCCTTTTTGAACAATTTTAAAATATTTGTTTTACAAAACGAAGGGTGATGAATATATAGCATAAAAGTTGAGAGAATTCTTTTTTAGATTCACTGAATTTGGGACTTGTATGTACGTACTACTCTAAGCACGAAACTCGACCGCTTGTTGCACAAACTATTTATTAAAAAATGGTTCTTATAAGTGTTAGACAAATATTAGTTAGGAACTGAATTATTTATATTTTCTATATACTTGCAATTTGCAGTATTCACCATAAAAGTGTGGTATAAATGAGTAGATGTACAATTATTTATATTTACTACCAGGCCACCTGCAGGCTGCAGCAGTTCTTACATAGCAAACAGCTTGATACTCCGCAGAAAACTATTCAAGTTCTTGATGTTGCCTTGAGGACAAATCTATAAACTAAATATCAGGTTGTGGGAAGATATTTCCTTGATTCAAGTTTTGGAGAGTGAAAATTAGATGATGGGCTGGAATACTGGAAAGGTTTTTATCAGAGTCTCCGTGACTCCGTCCATGCCAAATCGGACCATCCTTGAATATAGATGTATGTATCTGCAAGAGCTTTCTATGAACCCAAATTGTTTCGGAATATGTTTTTGACTTTCTAAAAGTTTTGGGCGTTACTAGACCACTAACAGACCAAGATCGTTTAAAGGTCAAATGTGTTTTTAAAGGTCTGAGGGTTGAAGTAAGTCATCTTCAAAACATTAGCCGCTATAAGATATCTGGATTGTCTACCCTGCCTGCTAGTCAATTGATGTTTGAATTGGAAACTAGGGAAAAGACTTCTGTGGTTAATTACTTTAGTAAAAAATACAAAATTAATATCACGTATCCCATGCTGCCCGCTGTTTAATCTGGAAATGATACCAAACTTGTACATCTGCCAATGGAGGATTGCAGAATTGTGAAGGGGCAAAGATATACAAGAAAATTGAATGAGAAACAAGTCACTGCAATGCTAAAAGCGACTGCCCAGCGTCCTCATGAGAGAGAGAATAGCATAGCGAAGGTTGTTGATGCCAATAAATATAACTTGGACAACATAGTTGCTGAATTCGGAATGAAATTAACGATTGATCTTACTGCTATTGAGGCTCGTGTTCTTCCACCGCCAATGATCAAATATCATGAAAGTGGACGGGAACCCGCCCTTTATCTCGGTTGGACAATGGAATATGATCAATGAGAAAATGGTTGATCCTCCAAGGGTGGATTTCCCAGTTTAAGGATGAAAATAGTACATATAGAGGCTACATGATGTTTTACGTTCTTTTTTAATCGCAACGTTCCACTTTTCACGCAATATGTTTCCCGGAACTTTCCCAGGAACAATAAATATATAGTTTTAACACACGGGAACTTGGGATGAAAATCATCCTTTATGAAACATATTAAAATATTTGTTTTACAAAACAATGGGTGATGAATAGGATAAAAGTTTAGAAAATTCTTGTTTACTTTCATGAATTTGGGGACATGTATGTACTATTCTAAGCACGAAACTCGACCGTTTGTTGCACGCACTATTTATTTAAAAATGGTTCTTCTAAATGTTAGACATATATTGGTTAGGAACTGAAATATATATACTTACTATATACTTGCAATTTGCAATAATTGACCATAAAAGTGCGGTATAAATGAGTACATGTACAATTCACACTTTCACGCGTCAAATAGCAAATGTGCGGATTTTAAGGTTTGATAGTTTCAACGGAACATCTTGATATAAATGTAATATTTTAAAAATAAAAATAAGAATAATACCAATATTAATAACAATAATATTAACAATAATAATAACAATAATAATACGAATAAATACAACAACAATAAGAAGAAGAAGAAGAACAATAAGAACAAGAATAAGAATAATAACAACAATAATAACAATAAGAACAATAATAAAAATATTAAGAATAATAACAAAAATAACAATAATAAGAACAATAATAGAAATAATAATAATAATTATAATAATAATAGTAATAATAGTAATAATAATTATTATAGTAATAATAATAGTAATAATAATAGTATAATAATAATAATACTATTAATAATACTTATAATAATAGTAATAATAATAGTAGTAGTAGTAATGATAATAATAATAATAGTACTAATAATAGTACTAACAACAACAACAACAATAATAGTAATAATAATAGTAACAATAGTAGTAATAATAGTAGTAGTAGTAATAATAATAGTGGTGGTGGTGGTGGTGGTGGTGGTGGTGGTGGTGGTGGTGATGATGATGATGATGATGATGATGATGATAATAATAATAATAAGTTCCCTATTCATGCCAAGGGTATTTACATAACTCAATTAAATCTGCTTCTTTGACACATTTGGTATTCTTATTCCGATCTCTTCGTTTTTTGTTGTGTACACATTTGAGTATAAATAACAAAAAACATGTTATTCTCTCAGTTGTGCCGCCAATTGTAATTGACATTCTTTACTTACTGTACATCGAAGAAGTTTAATAGAACCACCTAAAGTAGTTACCTTACAAATTAAACTTTCACCTGAACAATTTTAAAAAAATAAAATTGGTGCGAGAATTTTGTTTCCGGTTAATAAAAAGTTTTTGTATATCTGCACATGTTAAATAGCTTACAAATTTACAATGTTTTGTAAAAAATGAAAATAAATACAAGCTAAGAAATCTATGCTTTATTTTTTACAGAGTAGTCCAGACCTTTTTGGGAAAAAATAAATGTAGGAAATTAAATTTCTGGACTTTTCGACAGAAAATATGTGTCATGTATGTGGCATCATTAATTTTTCTTACCAACACATACGAACATTGACACTTTAAAGTTTAACCCACTCACATCCACCAATTATACTGTCGGATCGACCCACTATACGCATGATGCGCCGATCCCAATACCATGTCGTTTCATTAATTAAAAACCATTCAAATCATATTTTCTTCTCCGCTAAACTATCCTCCTGGGATTGTCGGACCTTCTCATTTATCTCCTCCCCTTCTGCCGTAGGATTTAAATGACGAATTAGAATTCATGAAGACATCATTAACATTTTAAGCTTGCATTAGAAAATAAATAATGTCACCCCTAATTTATATAATTACAACACTTTTAATTTTCTATTTTAAATTATGCAATTAACCCCATAAATTTACATTTTTTAAAGAAATAATACATGGCAATGGTGCAAAACTAACTTTTTATTTAAAGTTTAGGGTATTTAAATTACATATGCAAGTTTGGGGTATTCACCTCTCACATCCCTTCAAAGTTTGGAGTATTTTTATTATTTTCCCCATTAAAAAAACAAGATTCCACTTTCTAGGAATTTTATCAATCCGGGACCTGAAAGATAGACGAACTATCAATTCGAGATCTGAAAGATGAAATGTATCGATGTAGGACCCGAATGATAGAAAACTATCAATCTAGGATCCGAATGATTGAAAACTATCAATTTAGGACCTAATTTTTCATAAATTTTATTATTATTTTTAT